ATGCTTCAGGGACTAATTCATATGCTTTCAGTATTGCAGCTTTAACCATGGCATAATCCTGGCCATCACTTAAGCTCAACATGGAGAGAGCTTCTTGAGCACGACCAACCAAAACACACTGAAGCAAAATTATGCGGTCTGAATCAGACCAGTCTCTTGTCTCTGCAACCCTTTCAAACAAAGTGAAAAAAATTTCAACATCCTTTTCACTAAACTTAGGCACCAAACGCTAGTCACTTAAAATATCAGAGGCTTTACATTTTGAGTCCATAACACCAGATTCCACAGACAACTTTAGAAAAAAACCCAATATATATGCAAATGCAGAAATGGTTTTATTTGACTGCGTCTGAACTGAAACGCTGACTTTGATGTCTCAGATCACCCAGCAGCTGGAGGGGATCTGTTTGCAGGCGATCGGACTGGTCCTGCAGAAGCCCATCATAGGTATGGCAGGTGTGTGTTGGCGGGCAAACGGACCGTGTTTTCAAGCTCATTAATGAACTATTTAGGTTCTTGCTGACTGGGCAGGAAAATCTAAATAGTTGTTTCAGCTTCCACTTCCTCTAAAAACACAAAAGGTTAAGACATGGGATTTACATGCAGCATTCCATTAAAGATTTCCACAGCCAATTTAACTGGCAGAGCGCCTTTAGCTTTAAGTAAGGACACTGATTTCCATCCAGAGGTGCTTTCAATTTTTGGTTTTAAGTCTAACCCTTTTTGACGTGTTTGATGCACACCAAAAATTTTATGTTATGTAAAGTTTATGTAATTTTCTCTTTCTTTTTCTTTTTTTTATAAATTACTAAACAAAAGCTGCTGTTCTGTGTCTCTGGGATGAGATGTATTTTGAAGTCTTAAACTTCAAAATCTTAAACTTTGTTTGAACTGCTTGAAAACATGTTTAGGTTTTTCTAAAACATTTAAAAAGGCTTATTGATCGTTGTAACTTTTCATTAATTTCTCTAATGCCAATTTTAGATCGCAAAAATACAAAAATAAGTTAACTTTTTTCATTTCAAAAATCCATTTTAATGTCTCCGTTGCTGATTCTGGATGAGTGAAAACTTTTTACATTCGCTTGTTTAGATTTCCCTTATTTTCAATTCTAAAATTTGCATTAAAAAGCTGATAATCATGAAATGAACCTGACCCAGTGAAAACTAACTGTAGAAGTGTAAAACTTCATTTAAAGTTAAAAAGAATGGTTTCTTCTTTTAAATAATTTTAAATATACATTTAAAATTCTTAAGAATTTCATAGAAATTAACATTTCTTTTTTTTTATGTCCACACAATATTGTTTTGTTTTGTTGTTGGAATG